CAGAGACCGAGGTTGCGGGCCCCTCGGATCGCCCCAGAGTCCTAGGTTGCGGACCCCTCGGATCGCCGCAGAGACCGAGGTTGCGGACCCCTCGGATCGCCCCAGAGACCGAGGTTGCGGACCCCTCGGATCGCCCCAGAGACCGAGGTTGCGGGCCCCTCGGCGAATGGGTACCCACGCAGCCCATCGGAGGTGCACAGCCCAGTTACCGACAGACCCTGCAAGTCAAAATGGTCTAAATCTGAAGAGAGGCAAATAAAATGAACTCCTCCCACTTACAGTGGTCACCTCTCCCCTTCCCAAGCACACAAACTGCCCAGCATATATGACATTACTGAGCACAAATAAACAAGTGAGTGGTTAATAGGGCCAACTACAGCGCACGAGAAGTGCTATGAAGAGGCGTGACCCAAACCGCTCCCGCCCAGGTGAGAGGAACGCCCAGGGCAGACTCCCTACTGCAAAGACCCGGAGGCCAAAATCACCTGGATAAGTTCACGGCTCAAAGAAAGGAGTGTGTGGTGTTCTGGAAGCACAGGAAGAGAGCATTTGAGAAAAAGGAAGCAGCAAACTGACTGATTCCAAGCCTGTCAGAGTGGTTAGATGTGGAAATCAAACCGCCGGTTGGGTGGGGTTTGGGGAGGGCAGTGGGCTGAGGGTTCGAGGAGGCAAAAGTAGGGACAAAACGTTCTTACCCCACAGCAAGAGAAATTTGACCTGTTTCTGTGGGGATGGAATCCAAGAGAGTGGGACAGGACATAGATGGTCAAGAGAGTTAGACGATAGACATATGGGGGCCTGGTTCAAGACACTGCTAGGAGGGGCTGGGATTGTGGTGGCTCAGCATTAGAGGGCTCACCTAGCACCTAGCACGTGGGGCCCCTGGGTTTGATCCTCAGCACCACATAAAAATAAAGATATTGTGTCCAACTAAAGAATAAGTATTTGGGGGGGGGGGGAGACATTGCTGGGAGATGACTCCCAGCAGGCAGGAGAACTAATCGGGGAACTTGCCCAGGAACAGAGTTTTTCCAAGTTCATGACTGGACTCACTGCCCTGCTTAAAGCCTGTAGTGCTCTGCTCCAAGGCCAAAGTCCAACATGCCCCACTGGCCTTGTACTCCTCCCATTTATAGCACACAAACTGCCCAGCATGCATTACATTATTAAGTACAAAGCCCAGCAGGTAATGATGTTGATGGGTTTATAAGGGTGCAGACAAACAGAAGGATAAATAAGACTTTGCAAAGAGGGTGGACAGAGCTGATGACCATTCTGGATCTTGCCTGTCACTACTCAGCTTAACACTTGTTGGCTTCCAGTTGGGTTCTGGCACAGATAAAAGCCAGGAAGGTAAAGGAAGGGGTGTAGCTAGGATGTATGGGCTCCTGGCTGGGGCCATGCAATTTTCCCTTTAGTCTCCAGCTCTAGAAGCCCAGGTTTTATTGTTGTTGTTGTTGTTGTTGTGAATGACTGTGAATGACTGGCATTCTCCTTCCCGTGATCAGAAGAGGCTCCGTCAGTCATTTTTGTAGAGACCTCAATATTGCCCCATCCTCGAAGTAGCAGAATGTGTCTTCAGGTGTAGGCGAGCCTTCCTGCAGCCCCAGGGGTCCAATCACTCTCACCTGTTCCTTTGTGATCCTACCCCTTTGCCCTGTTTGGGATAGAATGTTCCATGGAAATGCCCTCTGTGTGTCCCTTCTCTTGCTCTGCCTGTGGGTGTGGCCTTCCTAGATGTCAGTCGACCTGCTGACAGCAGACATCAGGAAGCTGGACTCAACCCCCTGACACCTGACCCCTGGCCTCATTTGAATGGCTTCTCCTCAATAAAATGGTCAGCGCGTGCTGGCTCTCACTCCTTCTGTGGACCCTTAAGGTCAGAGGAGCAGTCACAGGACCCCCAGAGAAAAAAGTCTCTCTGTCTCTTGTGTGGTTATTTTGGGAACCCAGTTCCCCTGGAGGGGCGCTGAGTGTTTTTGTAGTGAGGAATGCAACATGTTTTATTCTGTTTTTGGCTTCCTTAATGTGGTGCTGGGGATTGAACCCAGGGCCTTAGTGCATGAAAGGCAAGCACTCTACCAACTAAGCTATATCCCCAGGCCAGAAGCAGCAGTTCTTGAGGCTATCCACCTTCACCTGACTTCTCATGTGCCCCAGCCCTTCTAATTCCTGGGTAACCAACCCACATTAAATTCTCAGGAGTTGTCTTTCAAAACTCCAGATCAGCCATAGGCCAGGTAGTATATCCACATTTTCTATATTCCAGGCACTTTGTCATACAAGGTGGGAATATCAAGCATGAGCACTGAGCCTTAAGCCTTGTGGTTAAGAATTACATAGGCCCTGCAGTGCATACCTGTAATCCCAGCAGCTCAAGAGGCTGAAAAAGGATCATGAATTCAAAGCCAGCCTCAGCAACTTAGGGAGATCCTGTCTCTAAATAAAATATTAAAAAGGCAGGGGATTGCCGGGCATAGTGTGCACACCCGTAATCACAGCGGCTTGGGAGGCTGAGGCAGAAGAATCACAAGTTAAAGCCAGCCTCAGCAAAAGTGAGGTGCTAAGCAACTCAGTGAGTCCCTGTGTCTAAATAAAATACAAAATAGGGCTGGGGATGTGGCTCAGTGGTTGAGTACCCCTGAGTTCAATCCCCAGTACCAAAAAAAAAAAAAAGGCTGGGGATGTTGCACAGTGGTTAAACCCACACTGAGTTCAATCCTTGATTGTAAAAACAAACAAAAAATCTAATGGGCTGCATGTAGTAGCATAGGCCTGTGATCCTAGCCACTTGGGAAGCTGAGGCAGGAGGATCAGAGGTAACTTAACAAGAACTTTCTCAAAATAAAAATGACTAAGGAATGTAGCTCATTGGTAAAACACCCCTGGGTTCAATCCAAAGAAAAAAGAGGGGGTAGGAAGGGAGGAGGAAGAGGAAGAGGCTCATGATCCAGTAGGGGTGAGAGAATGTGTCTCATCAGCCCAGGCCAGCCTATTCCAAGGCCTCTACTGCGTGCTCACCACATTCATCCATCCATCTCAGTGCAGGAATGATGCCAGCCCCCAGACGCACTGGGCCTATACCACACATCAGGCCCTTGTGGAAACTCCTAGGCTGCCCACTGCCTGCTGCACCAGACTCTCTGGCTCACAGCTGAGAAAGTTCTGACATTTGGGCTTGGGCTCTGCCACTGCTGGGTCTCAATTTCATCGTGTGTGAAGACGGATTGTTTACTTTTGTTCAGCTTTACAATCCTGGCTGTGAGCTGCCTCTTGTGGAATGGGTACCTTCGAGTGTCCTCTGGGTGGGGCAGCTAACATCACTGTCTAGAGTGGCACTTGGCAAGCAGGCACTCAGTTGTGTCAGTTACTGCTCCTCCTGACAGTACCAATGCTCAAAGGACTCTGGGGGCCAGAAGAAGGGAGAGATATTGGCCCCTATCTGCTGGAGTTGATGGTCTCCGAGGGCCCAGGCCCAGGGCAGCTGGCCCTAGGGATGTGTGGTCAGCTTACAGAGAGCTCCAGCTGGGAGGCTTCCTGCAGCAGTCCCCGTCTGCTCCTCCAACCTGTCCCTGTCCTGGTGCAGCCACGGGGGTGTTGGGAATCCCTGCGAGGAGGAGTCACAGCTGAAACAGCAGTCGGCACACGTTCCACCCTTTTCCCGTACCCTTGGAAGGTCGGCCCTCCTGCCTTTGTCCCCAGAGTCCCCGGTTTCTGTAAAGGTCTTCAGTGGCCAACACATTCAGGGTGGCTCACAGAGGCCTCACCCTGGCTCTAGCCCTTGAAGGGGGTTCTCCCCACCCCAACAGAGTGGCACCACACCTGACAGGACTGTCTGATTCAACAAGCCATTCTCACAGGGGGAAGGTTCTGAGACAACACATGCTTTGGGGCACAATGAAGGTACAGTTCTAGAATCGTCCATTCTAGAATGTGTCCCCAGCTTCCCAGAGCCTGTGCTCCCACCCAGTCTCTAGGTGTGTTAACCTCCCACCTCCGGCAAGACTCCAGAAACTTGGTGGCTGCCTCGAGGGGTGCAGCTCCTTCTCAGTCCCCTGCTGCCCCAGCCCTTGCCCTCTGACACAGCTTGTCCCACCCTGTGACTGAAACTGGCAGTGAGCTGGACTGCCACGCTCCCTTTGGTAGCACCCTGCCCTCCATGAAGGGCAGCGGTAGGCTCAGGTTGGACCACAGAACCTTCATAGAACAGGTGCGAGAATGCATGGACAATGGCTACTTGCTCTCCTCCAAGAGGATTGGCTCTGGAGCATTCTCCAAGGTCTACCTGGCCTATGCCACACAGGAGCGCATGCAGCACAACCCCAAGCTGTCCTCTGACTTGCGGGGCAAGCACCACACCATGGTGAGGCAGGCCTGTCTCCTTCCTGTGGGCTCCTTAGGGTACCTTCTGCCCCCCATAACAGTCCCCTGTCCTGAACCAACTCAGGCACCTTCTAGAAACCCCAGTTCCCTCCAAAATGCCTCCCCCCCAGGTCCTGCTTCTTCTGGGTTTTCCCATGACCACTCCCTGTTACCAAACCTTGGACATATAAGTGCCCAGGAAAAGGACAGGGAGGTCAGCACCGTCCACAGACACTGTTTACCCAACTACACCTCTGAGAAGTTCAGCAACGTGTACCAAGGACAGTGAGCCTGTCCTGCCACAACCATCTACTACCTCCCACAGGTAGCTATCAAGATTGTCTCCATGGCTGAGGCCCCTGTGGAATTCTCTCAAAAGTTCCTGCCCCGGGAGATCTCATCACTCAATGCTACCTATAAGCACCTGAACGTGGTGGGCAATAGTCTTGACATAGCCTGTCCTATTCTCCCCATCCTCAAGGCCAGGCCTTACCATACCTGCTGCTCAGCATGGCCTGTCCACCTCCCCAACTTTTGACCTTTAAGTCTTTAGGCTTAAAGCCCAACCCCATTCTGAACCCCAGATCCAGTACACTCCACAGTCCCTGGACGTCCTTGGCCCAGCCCCTCCTCAGGGTAATGGTGGTGGGGGTCTGGCAGGTACAGCTGTATGAGACCTATCAGAACAGCCAGCGCTTCTACCTGGTGCTGGAGTTGGCTGCCCGAGGTGACCTGCTGGAACACATCAATGCTGTGTCAGACTACCGACACTGCCCGGGGCTGGAGGAAGAGGAAGCCCGAAGGCTATTCTGGCAGTTGGTCAGCGCTGTAGCCCATTGCCACAATGCTGGCATTGTGCACCGGTGAGGGTGCCACCTGGCCATCCTGCCCACCTTGAGTCCCCTTGAGCCCAGGCCCAGCCCCACCTTCCTTTTCCCTGCAGGGACCTGAAATGTGAGAACATACTCCTGGATGATCAGGGCTTCTTAAAGCTGACAGGTGAGCCAGGCCCTGCCCCCAAGCCTGCTCCACTCCTTCACTAAACCTTCAACTTCTGCCAGTCTCAGGCAGGCCCTACATTCAACTATGACCTAGCCCTGACCTTTAGCTCTCTCACTGCAGCCCAGACTCACTGGCCTAATCCCATAAATGCCTTCTGCTCAGCCCACCCTAATTCACCCACTTGGTGCCCCTGTCTTCCCCAAGATGTCAGCGCAGACCCATACTCTTCTGACCCATGGGTCCCTGACCTGTCTTTCAACTGCTGTGCGGCTCCGCCTGTATGCCCCATGCAGATTTTGGCTTCGCCAACCACTCAAGCCTCAAGAATTCACTGCTGAGCACCTTCTGTGGCTCTGTGGCCTACACAGCCCCAGAGATCCTCATGAGCAAGAAGTACAATGGCGAACAGGCCGACCTATGGAGCCTGTGAGTGCCACCCCACAGGCACCCTCTGCATGCAGGACCTATGGGAGGGCTGGGAAGGGGCACCACCTAGAGGAGCCTTTATCTCCAGAGGTATCATCCTCTACGCCATGGTGACTGGGAAGCTGCCATTCAAAGAGAGCCAGCCTCACCGCATGCTGCACCTCATGCGCCGTGGACCTATCTTCCAGCCTGGCCTGTCTCCAGGTGAACACCCCTACCTCATGTGCCCTCCCCAAAAAATCCCAGTTCAGGCCCGGAGAATAAGCAAAGACCAGTGCGCCAGGAAGGGTCAACCAGTGCAATGGAGAATGATCTGGACTCATCTTCCACCTCATTTGGAAGTGCATGATGGGGAAGCTGGGCTGGGGGAGGGCTTGACTGGGCACCAGGAAAGGCAGTAGCTCCACCAAGCTGGTTTGAGCTCAGAACTAGCCCCAGGAACACCACCTTGCCTCTCTTTGCTCGTCTCCCCTTCAGTGACACATGGACTTTCTCAGACTTTTGCCAGGACTGAAATGGGTTGACCTCTCTAAGTGGCCTCCATTACTGGTGGTGGTGGGCATGGACCAGGGGTGCTGCGAGACAGCTGGTGAGGGCAGCTGCAGGCCACAGCTGAGTTTTTGCCTGCAGAGTGCCGGGACCTCATCCGGGGATTGCTCCACCTGCGCCCACGTGCACGCCTGGGTCTGCAGCAGGTGGCTGCACACCGCTGGATGATTCCTGCTGTGCACACACTCTTCTGCTCTTCTGTGGTAGTGGGTACCACATCAGGTGGGGCATGGTCTGGGGGTGGAGTTGGGAAGCAGATAGTCCTCTACACTCCACCTGACTCCACTTCTGTCAGTTTCAGAGAAGCTAGTGGGTTCACAGCTCCTAGCGCCCCAGGAGGATGCAGAGCATGGTGCAGACTCAACCTACCCAAGGAGGCAACAGCAGCAGCACACCTGGGAGGAGAGCACCTTGGGCCTGGCGCTCAGGACCTCCAATGTCTTCCCCAGACAAGAAGCAGGTTCTGCAGGGCTGGGGCTCCTGTGCACCAAAGCAGGGAGCCAGTCCCTGTCTCTATACTCTACCTATGCTGTCAGGAACATTCCTGGGCACTACATGATCAATTGAGGGTGGGTGGGTGGGTATGGGCAGATAAAATGTTTATTCTGTGGAGCTGGGAGTGCTTCTGTCTTAATGCAGGGAAAAAGAAATGGCCTCCAGCTGCCTCCCTGGTGGAGGCTCTGCCACCACTTTCTGGGTCTCCCAGTCAGGGAAAAACCAGCACATGTATCACACTTGCCTAGACTGCTAGGCTTTAATGGGGCGGGCTAGAGGGCACCCTAAAAAGGGAAACCAGTGTAACCTAATGAAGCACCTAGCCATGTCAGAGAACATGAGGCAGTGCAGTCTAGGGTTTTGGTGAGGTGGAACGGGCCTGTAAGCTTCCGGAAGCTAAGCTCTTTCATCAGGGTCTCTTCACTGGTGAAGAGGGAACAGCACTCAAGAGTCCCATGCAGGGGGCATGAGGCTCAGGAAGGAAACAAAGTGGGGTGAAAGCCACTATAACTGCTCCAAACTTGGGGGCAAGGGGAACACATATGAAACTAGGATAAAAAAGCATGCCAGGCCCATGTGGGTTAGGGCAGGGGTAGATGGTGGTGGGAAGAGAGGCTCAAATGGGACAAGACTGCAGGCACATGGGGAAGGCTCTCTGCAGAGGTAGGCAAAGGGTCTGGGAGCAGCATCTAGATGTCTTGAAAGGCATCTGAAACTCGGGGAAGTTGACCAGGAGAGCAGGCCTAGTTAGAGAGCTATGAGAGAACACCAGATTGACCTGGGACTGGAAGAGCTGACCTGGCGCAGAGGACCCTGAGGCACAGATCATGCAGAGATGGAGATCCCAAGAGAAAGTAGTACCCAGCAAGTGCTCCAAAGACAGGCCCAGGGGCATAGTCCTAGGAAGATCCTAGGATCCAGGTGTGGCTGGGTCAGTCCTCTGAGGCCAGGTCTCAGGCAGAGCAGGCCAAGAGCCCCAGGGGATGGGGCTGACAGCAGGAGGCTCTACTTGAACCTCTGAACCTGCCCATGCCCAGACTTTATAGAGGATGCTCTTCAGGATGTGCAGTGCTTCCTGTCCAGTCCACCACTTTGCCTGAGAACAGGTTCCTCATGGCTCCACTGGCCCACCTCTCTGCCCAATGTGAAGGCAGTTGTGGCACAGGGCCTGGCGGGCTTTGGCTCAACCTTTATTCTTATTGGTATCAACAGGAGACAGAGGGTTGGGAAGTGTCCTCAACCCTCCAACATTTACTGAGCATTCACTCTAGCCCAAGTATAGCTCTGCTTCTCAGCAGGGCACAGGGGATTTGAAGGCCTGTAGGCAGGTCTGGCCTAGCAAGTCTGACAAAGGTGCTCTGGACTGCCGTGCTGAAGGGACCTCAGGTAGGTGCAGTCCCTTCCACTCTTGACTCTTGGGCCAGCTGCTGCTGCTCGCGGTCCAGCTGCTGCTGCTGCTGCTCCCGGTCCAGCTGCTGCAGCTGTCGTTCCACATCCTCAGGCACCTGCACCTCCAGCAGGTTTTCCATGCCATATTCTGGCTCATCTCCAATTAGCACCTGCCAGGAGAAGAGGCAGGTGAGTAGAAGAGCTGGACAGCTGTGGGCTCCCATTCCTCAGTCTTTCCAACCTTGCACCCACCTGGATGAGCTTTTCACAAGCCAACCGCACATCAGGCTCTGGTTCCCAGGTATGCAGCTCTCGAAGGATCAGGTAGGTTCCCTGGTCCCGCACCTGCTGCCGCCCAGGTGCAGTGGCTGTCAGCTGGGGATATTGAAGAGGTTACTCATATGTCAGTGTGCTCCTATGTGTGTGTAGAACAGTGGCATTAACATAGCACACCCCTGCTCACCAGCATGATGGCCTCAATGAGCATCTTGCGGATGTCAGCATCAGGTTCACGCTGCTTCTCTGGCGGCAGGTACTGCAGGTCAACAGGCAACCCTGGGGGTGAGTGTGGGAGGCACTGGGTGCCTTACTGGGCAGTTAGACCTGGCTCTACCTGGGTGAGCCTCATCTGTGCTCAGCAACTCTTTCCTGGAAAGTTTCAGAAGGGGTCTGGGCACTTTCTCGTCCCTTTCCTGGGGTTGACTTCCTTCCTGCCTGGCCAACCCTTAGGCACCATCAATCCAAGCCACTCACTGTTCATCTCTTCCTCCGAGAAATCCTCAGGCCCAGCCAGAGGCAGTAGCAAGAAGGGAAGAATGTCGACTTCAGGCCCAAGCAACCACTCATGGTGTCCTGGGGGTGGGGACAAGAATAAGGTCGGGGGCGTGGGACTGTAGCTCAGTGGTAGAGCTCTTGCCTCACAGGTGTGAGGCACTGGTTTTGATCCTCAGCACCACATAAAAATAAATACATGAAAAAATACTGTGTCAATTTACAACTACTACTACTACTAATAATAAGGTCGGTTCGTAGGGGACCCAGAGTCCAGTCCCCACCCCAGAAACACCCAAACCTCCCCCCCTCAACTCACGGTGCTCAAAGCAGCAATTCCGCAGCGTCCCTACCACCCCTCCCCTGCGCACTGAGGAGTCTGAACGCTGGATAAGGGGCAGCAGCCGCTGGACCACGCACCTATTGGAAGAGGCCATTAGTTGCCATCCCTGCTCACTTCCACCCGCTCCCCACCCGCGCGAAGTCTAGGCTTCACCTGTCAGGGTCCAGCAGGAAGGCACGTGCGGCAGGCCGCTGGCTAAGGTTGGAGAGCAACGGCCCCAGGTAATGTAGGGGCGCGTGCGCGTTGTAGCCGCGCGTGCAGAGTGCACACACCAACCGCTCCAAGCCCGACTGCCCTGGCTCGACTGCTGCCAGTGCCGCCATCAGCGCGGCACACGGCGCAGGCTCGCGACTCAGGTTGGCCAGCGTGGCAGCCGCCTCTTCCGCCCAGGGCCACTGTGGGTCCAACGCACGACCCAACAGACGAGCCGGCAGCCCGGGGTCGGCTGCCAGAAGCGGTTCGTGCAGGCTGGGGTCAGCAGCCAAGTTCACAAGCGCGC